GTTTGATACATGCTTTCACAAAACTCCAAGTGTATATATATATATGTGTGTGTGTGTGTGTGTGTGTGTATAGAGTATATATATATATATATATATATATATATATATATAGTATATATATATATATATATATATATATATATATATGTGTGTGTGTGTGTGTGTGTGTGCAAGCAAGACGCCGAGAGAAACTAGTCCTGCTCCCCGTTCAGAACCTGCTCTAGACTCCAGACCACGCAGTTCCGTATAGCAATATTCAACTCGACCCTCTCAAGGCCACCATATATAGATCAAGTGAGTAGTGAGTCGGATTACCTCAAGATTAGACGCCCTAGCTCATTCCACCTCAAGATTAGACACCCTAGCTCATTCCACCTCAAGATTAGACACCCTAGCTCATTCCACCTCAAGATTAGACACCCTAGCTCATTCCACCTCAAGATTAGTCGCCCTAGCTCATTCCACCTCAAGATTAGACACCCTAGCTCATTCCACCTCAAGATTAGACACCCTAGCTCATTCCACCTCAAGATTAGACACCCTAAATCATTCCACCTGAAGATTAGTCGCCCTAGCTCATTCCACCTCAAGATTAGACGCCCTAGCTCATTCCACCTCAAGATTAGACACCCTAAATCATTCCACCTGAAGATTAGTCGCCCTAGCTCATTCCACCTGAAGATTAGACTCTAGCTCATTCCAATCTTTCGGGAAGATTAGACACCTAGCTCATTCCAGCACCTGGAAGATTGCATTTCTCACTCTAGCTCATTCCACCTGAAGTTTCTCTAGACGCCCTAGCCTGGCCCCCAATCTCTCAAGATTAGACACCCTAACTCATTCCACCTCAAGATTAGACACCCTAGCTCATTCCACCTCAAGATTAGACACCCTAGCTCATTCCACCTGAAGATTAGACACCCTAAATCATTCCACCTGAAGATTAGACGCCCTAACTCATTCCACCTCAAGATTAGACACCCTAAATCATTCCACCTGAAGATTAGTCGCCCTAGTTCATTCCACAAGATTAGACACTCTAGCTCATTCCTCCTGAAGATAGTCGCCCTAGCTCATTCCACCTGAAGATTAGACACCCTAGCTCATTCCACCTGAAGATTAGACACCCTAAATCATTCCACCTGAAGATTAGACGCCCTAACTCATTCCACCTCAAGATTAGACACCCTAAATCATTCCACCTGAAGATTAGGCACTCTAGCTCATTCCACAAGATTAGACACTCTAGCTCATTCCTCCTGAAGATAGTCGCCCTAGCTCATTCCACCTGAAGATTAGACACCCTAGCTCATTCCACCTGAAGATTAGACACCCTAAATCATTCCACCTGAAGATTAGACGCCCTAGCTCATTCCACCTCAAGATTAGACACCCTAAATCATTCCACCTGAAGATTAGACGCCCTAGCTCATTCCACCTCAAGATTAGACACCCTAGCTCATTCCACCTCAAGATTAGACACCCTAGCTCATTCCACCTCAAGATTAGACGCCCTAGCTCATTCCACCTCAAGATTAGACACCCTAGCTCATTCCACCTGAAGATTAGACGCCCTAGCTCATTCCACCTGAAGATTAGACGCCCTAGCTCATTCCACCTCAAGATTAGACACCCTAGCTCATTCCACCTCAAGATTAGACACCCTAGCTCATTCCACCTGAAGATTAGACGCCCTAGCTCATTCCACCTCAAGATTAGACACCCTAACTCACTCTACCTCAAGATTAGACGCCCTAGCTCATTCCACCTGAAGATTAGACGCCCTAGCTCATTCCACCTCAAGATTAGACACCCTAGCTCATTCCACCTCAAGATTAGACGCCCTAGCTCATTCCACCTGAAGATTAGACACCCTAGCTCATTCCACCTCAAGATTAGACACCCTAGCTCATTCCACCTGAAGATTAACCACCCTAACCTAACCACCCCAGTAGTGTTAAGGTATAGTTAATCTTTAAAGAGAAATTACCTGGAGTGTCTAATCTTCAGGTGATCCGATTTATATTACACACATGCAAGGCGAATATCAGAATAAATATACATACATACATACATACATACAGCAATAAGACACACAGGGGGTAAACAAGACTGTATAATGAATGTGACAAGTCATGTTATGTGAGTTGCTTTATAATGTGTCCCGATAACACAGAGACGCGAGGGGGCACACACACACACCTACGTGCACTACTTTCTCTTGTCCGTCTCTCTCTCTCTCTACAATAAAGCTATATAAACAGTGGAGAGTAGCAGCATCTCGACTCCATCTATATCTTAGTCATCTCGTAGACGGACCAACTCCCTCAGAACAGAAAACAAGAGAGAGAGAGAGAGAGAGAGAGGTACAGTATTACGCAGGATCAGGAAGAGGAAGAACCCTGTAAACTGAGGACAACACAACACGGGGGATTACTGCCCAAGTAGACGTGTTGTGGGTGGCGGTAGGTGGAGGCGAGGTTAGGTGGTGATGGGGTATAAATCAACCCTATATAATATGACCCACAAGCAGATGCCAGATATTGTCAAGTGTCCAGGGAATATTGACCATTAGTGTAGCAAAATAATACTACTACTACTAAGAACAACAATGCTAATACTAACAACAACAACAACAATAATAATAATAATAATAATAATAATAATAATAATAATAATAATAATAATAATAATAAGGAAGGGTTTCTCTTATGACAGCTGGGTGTACACAGGAACACAGCTTACACAGTATAAGACAATGTCAACAAACTCAACACCGTAAACCTAACACATATAAGCCACATCCGGAGGTTCACAACTGTTTATATTTACTGCGTTGGACGGCGTCACGTTCTCCTACCTAAACACATACGAGGAAAGGACGCCAAGGTAAGCTTCCCCAACTGAATTTCATCATTTACTATGGGGATCCTTGTAAAGGGTTATCAAATCTCACAGGTGTCGGAACCAAACTTATTGTGGCCTCAGCTGACGGTCTGTGTGTTGTGGTGATGGTGATGAGTGCAGTGACTGGCGTCAACAAGGGTTTACGGTCCAGTCCTCCTCCTCACCGTTTTTATACAAGGTGGTAGGTCAAGATGAACCCAGTCCTATTAGGCCCTAAAGGTCAAATAGGCCCCAGTCCTAACATTATCTAGTACTATCAAGCTTTAGTCCCAATAAGCCCCAGCCCTAATAGACCTTAGTCTAGGTTAAAGAAACTAAACTTGCATTCCCTAGAAAGACGAAGAGTGCGGGGAGATATGATAGAAGTATTCAAGTGGGTGAAAGGAATCAAAAAAGGAGATATAGATAAAGTTCTTATAATATCCGAGCAGGATAGGACTCGAAGCAACGGATTTAAGTTGGATAAGTTTAGGTTTAGGAGGGAGATAGGAAGGAACTGGTTCACAAATAGGGTGGTGGACGAGTGGAACAAGCCAAGCAACTATGTAGTAAGTGCTGGAACGCTGGAAAGTTTCAAAAGGAGACTGGATAGATTCATGGATGATAGAGAGTGGTAGTAACTCTCGACAGGAGCTGCCATGCACAGGCCAACCCGCCTATTGCAGAGTCCTTATGTTCTTATGTATGTTCTTATGTTCTAGCCCTAAGTCATACTACATCCCAGCCCTAATAGAGCCTAGGTCAGGGTCTCTCGATCTGGTGCTCGCGGTGGCCCTAATAAACCCCAAATTTAATGCATCCCAAATTTAATGGTTCCGTTAGCTTAAGAAGGGGCCCAATCGGACTGGGACCTTCTGAGACTGGGGTCCACCCGATCTGTATCCTTAAAACACCCACAAGTTACACAACCCAATGTGGGGAGAAATCCTGCAGGAGGCACGAGTAGGTCTTGGCCAGCAGCCACAGGTGAGGTCAGGAAGGTCACTCAAGCACCAGCTGGCCACATGGTCACTGTATACAGCTCTCACTGCCGTCATACACGGGGTCAAATCCATGCCACACATGCCAGGTACATTTCATGAAGATTAGCTCTTCAAGGTTATCTCACCACCCGAATGATAACCTAACCTAAACATATCTCACCTGACCTGACCTAACCTGACTTAACCTAACCTAACCAAACCTGACTTAACCTAACCTGACTTAACTTAACCTAACCTAACCTCCCCAGACGGCGTTAGGGTGATTAATCTTCAAGGGAAATAAACTGAGATGTCTAGTCTTTAAGAGATTGAAATTTAATAATAAATAGTAAGTTATTTTTTTGGAAATATATTATTGTAATGTTTCATAATACTGTAATACAACACAAAGTGCACTACAGTATTATAAATTTATGCAACATTAATACAACACTACAAGATCACTAAACCCTCCAATACAACACTGGGGGGGGGGAGAGAAGAGGAAGGGAAGGCAAGAAGAGGAGGGGGAAGGGGGAAGAGAGAAGGGAAGGCAAGAAGAGGGGAGAGAAAGGGGAAGAGGGAAGGAAAGGGGGAAGAGGGAAGGGAAGAGGGAAGGGGGGAAAGGGGTGTAAAAACCAGGAACCTCCCATATCAACCTTGCCTCGTTGTTTCCGCCGTCTAGTAATCTCTATTTTGAAGAGGAGATACTGGATTGCGCGCGCGTGTGTGTGTGTGTGTGTGTGTGTGAGCTTGAGGCCAAACATTCCATAAGTATTACTTAACTTCAC